CACGGATGCACACCGATTGCACTTTGTTTTGTACGTTTCATTTCAGTGAATACACACCCAATATGAATGAAACGCGATACATTTTGAGAAAATAGTTAATGGAAAAATGTAAATAAAACGTTCTTTGATATAATAATATAAAATCAAACGCAATGCACTTTCTCATCAGAAAAAATGAAAATCTTCCAGTAGACCCAGTTGGGAAAGCCCCTTAGCTACTTCAATTGGGAAGAGTCCGTCAAACGGACAGTATATGGGCTAGCTAACACCCTGCTTTGCCACTCGTACAACTACATTTGTATATCCGAAAACTTTGAGTAACGTTCGAAAAATCCTGGATTCGCCCCTGGATATAACAATGTAAGTTTAAAGCCTCATTATCCTGAAGTATTTTTTATTACTGACCACCCTACAGCAGCATTCCATACAGGATGGTAGTAAAATTGCTTAAAGGTAGCCTCATTTGTCCAATCTCCCAATTTAATTATCTCAGAAACAGAAATACCTGCTCTAGCTGCTGCAGAAGTAGATGCATGTCTTGTGGAATGTGCCTTAAATATCTTTCTGTCTACTCCTGCTTCTAATAAGCAATCCTTTACTCAATGGGGTAAGGTAGAAGAGGTGATTGCTTTATGGGGTTTGTTGAAAGAAACAGTCTACTTGGCTTCTTATTCTTTGTTTGTTTTTCATATTCTTTATGGCAGGAACATCAACATCCTCTCTTACTGTTCAGTCGCTTAAAACTAAACTCAATAAACATTATACTGAGAAACTTAATGCATGTTTTGATGTTGAGAGATCAAGGACTTGGAAAACATTTTGTTCTAAGTGTCGTTCTTGCTTTTTCAATTGTTGTTCCTAAAAGTACATCTTAGCGAATTTTAATTATGTACTGTACATAATTTGTGAATTTGTTAGTTTAAATAGTGTTGTAATGTAGAATGTCAGGCAGGACTGACTTAATTGCGACTTTATTTGTCGTGTTGTGTGAGCCTTCATTTGTTATAATAAATTGCAAAAATAATTAAAAAAAGAAATTAGCATGAGAAGAAGTCTTTTAAGTGGTTAATTGCCAATGCAAAAAGATGCACCTTCGTGATGGAATCGCGTGAATTGTAAATTATGCGCAATTAACTCTGAGTCTCTTTTTGTTCCTTTGGGCCAAGGCCTTCAAGATACTTTGTGACTGTATCTACATCCCATGTAGTAACATATCTGGACATAGGGGAATGTGAATTAAAAATCCCTTTTAACCATTGAACTATTATTAATGGGTGCTCCCCCACATTAAGTGTACGGTATTCCAGCCCAGAATCAAACTGACTAGCTATGAAGTTTACTATGTACTGTATATTACAGCCTTTAAAGGTGCTGAAGGAGGATTGGCTTGTTGTTCTCTACACCAGCTAGTCCACTTTCGCCAAGCAGAAGAGTATGTCTTTTCTGTTCTAGATCTCCAGACGGCCAAGAGAAGTCCTTGAGCTGGCTGCGAAATTGATGCACTCTGCACATTCCTCCTGAGACACGACACGCGGCTAACTGCAGGTGAGCCCAGTAGGGTTTGTCCTTTTGTCTCAGTAACCCTGGGTATGATGGCAGTAGCACAACGACTTCTATTACCATTCCCAGTAGTAGAGGATACCAGGGCTGGGTTTCCCAGATTGCTGTGATTATGGCGAGGAACTGACTGCTGCTGCTGTCTCAGACAACGTCCTATGAGGGCGAATGGAGGGAATGCATACCCTGTGAATTGACGCCAATCCAGTGTAAAGGCATCCATTACCTCTGCGACTGGATCTGGTTTCCAACTCACAAATTTTGGCAGTTGTGCAGTCAGTCTTGATGCAAAGAGATCTATTGAGAATGAACCCCATTTGGAGTTGATTATCTTTTACATGTAACAGTTGCTCGTTTTGGGACCAAAAACCCCTCGTGTCCATCATCCCACGACGAGCTCCCCAACCTGTTGTTGATGAGTCTGTCTCGATAGTCAATGTGGCAGGATCCCTCAAAAGTGCTTTTCCATTCCAAGCTGTCAAGTGATCTCTCCACCATTTTAGCTCTTCGAGAGCAGCTGCTGACCAAATTACGGGAGCTTCGTAGCTCCCATGCTTTGCCAAGCTTTGTTTTTGACAGGTTGGAGATAACGATAATGTAGTGGTGCTGGGAAAACCGCCTGAATCGAGTTGTTGTGGTGGTACAGAGTGTACTGCTTGTTTTTATCAACTCCACCTTTTTGTTTATTACCTGTTGATCCTCTACTGAAATTGATGGGATGGTATTTTGATATGGTGGATTTGTAAAACAAATTTGATACCCCCGAAATAGCATTGAGTACCCAGGGATCGTTTGTGACAAACTCCCAAATTTTTATGAAATATCAGTTAGACGTCTTGCTAGTGGCAAATGGTTTGAATTTATATGACGTAGCCCAATCTTTTCACAAAATACATTTACTTTGGGAAATTGTGTTAAATGTGTTTTTTTTGCGTAGCTGATTCTCGACTGTTTTGGTAAATCCCTGCTGACTTTGTTGTGATGTTGTTTGTGGTAGAAGGCTTGGGAATCTTCCTCTCCCCCGGCCACAGGCTCGAAAGGAGTACCTGCCCCGGGCTTAAGCTGTCTTGGTAGTTCCATCTGCCACGTTCTTGGCCGCCTCGCCATGGACGGTAACTGGAGGATGCCTCCCTTGGAAGAAACTGCTGAGATAATTCTATTAAAATATCAATTTCATTCCTTGGCCAAACAGCGTCTTGCCGGCATCTGGAAATGGCTCCGTGGCAAGTGCAATTTAACTTTGGATTAAATTTACCCAAAATTTGTTTGCGTCGCTGGGTTGTTAACTGAGTTCTATACTTCCCAGTAAACATAGAGCCTTTGTCAGGCATGCATAGCCATACATAGAGGCCATTAATATTGCTCGGAGGTACAGTATAGTGATTGTAATTTCTGCACCGTCCACTCCTGGCCTGATTTCCATGATAACACATGCTCAAAGGCCTTAGCTAATGGGCCGATAACATCTAAAATTTGATTTTGGAGTTTCGTAGGCTCCTTGTCAACACTTTTGGCTCCTGCAATCAGTGAGCTCAGCTCAAATAATTATCGAGAACAGGTGTGTATACAGACTCAACATTAGAACGTGGGAATTCTTTGGTTATCTGCTTTCATTCATATCAAGAAAGTGTTTTGTCAGTATATAGAACATGTAGAAGACTCGAAAGTTCTTGCGAAGCGTCCCAGTGGCACTACTATCACCGTTCAAATGACTAAATTCGTTAGTAATGTTAACTTTCTTTGTAGGAGGTTCGTCTCCTCAAATATCTTCTCTACTTCGTCCTCGTCATCATTATGTTCATATAGCCTTGTGTTGACCCGGCGGTTAACCAGGGAATTTCTGTGTATTTCTCCTTCGACTTCGACAGGAGATGACTTAGTGATCTCTTGAATCATATTCGGCAATATCGCCGAAAGTTGACCCTGTAACTGTTTTTGAAATTAATTCATTCTGACTGTGTGCGAAGAAAAATTCATTCTCATTGTGTACGAAGAAAAAAGCAACGTGGTCAAGGTTGAAGCCTTGAAATGTGTTGTTGATGGAAATTATCGAGTGCAATTTTATATACATTTTATTAGACCTACAGTAACCAGGAACAGCTGCGAAAAATGCAACTTTATAGGTCCTTGGCAGGAATTGAACCTGCTGCCCTTCCGGTGCAGCGCTCTAACCAACTAAGCTACACAGGCCAGTTATCAACCTTTAGCCACAAGTTCATGTATATATATGTAGGGAACTGCGATGTTTTTAGGTTATGGGTAATTAGAATAAATTCTGGATTGAAAAATGACTTTCAATTAAGCGTTCTGATTGGCAGTAACACTGAGAATGCAAAGTATGGTAAAAAAAAATATTTTAGAAAATAATTGAAATAAAAAATCAGTATTTGTTTTTTATTAGACATGAATCCGTAATTGAATTGTGATGAATACAGATATGTCGGCTGACCAAAATCCAGTGAATCTAAATTTATATAATTGCCAAAATGTTTTCATTGGTGATAACAACAATGTTAACTTACAAAGTGATGAGGTGCAAGGTATGTTTATGATTATCACAGAATTGTGACATAAAAAAACTAAGAAATTATATTATTAGACATGTTATATATTTGTAATGTTAAATTATAGTAAAAGCAGGTTCAATAATAGAAAATACATGTCCACTGTGTATTTAAAAATACAAACATACCAAAACTACTTTTTCAGGAGAGGATTTGGGAGTGTGGGGGGGGGCTTGTTAGCCATTGTCTGCCAGATTCAGTATCCAATGATTACATCCTATACATACGCACGCAAAAGTGTCGCATTTTGTCAAGAAGATGTGTTCACAACACAAATTGTTAAATTACAGGACAATAACAAGTTGTTGAAACAGCTTGTAATAAGTCTGTTGAATCGACAATCAAGTTCTGCAGGCATCTCGTAATTCACCTGCGTTGCTTTTAAATTTTTTTTAGCTGCAACCAAATTCTGCAGGGCATTTTTTAAGAAATTGCAACTACTGGGGCCAAGTCACAATGAGGGCCTTTTCCCCGCACAGTTATGCCTGTGTCATAGCAGCCACTAGCCCTATTTGAATGGGGGGGGGGGCGTGTAAATGAAATTTTGCCGATTCATTTCAAACACTAATCCAGTTCTAAAGGCATAACTTTTCGTTCACGAAAGTGCAGGACTTGCACGTATCAACGTTCATTCTTCGTGCGCGTAACTAGAACTTGGTATACACACCACAGAACGTAAGAATGGACAACATCAATTTAAGTTAATTTAAATCATTATTACGGGTATACTACATCAATGCCCTCAACAGTCGTTGTAATACAGATGATCCGAGAACGTGGTAGACAATAATTTAAGATGTAACTGCCCTCGGAATATGAACAATGAAATAGCTTGCTGTAGTTGAAGGCGATGTTGTGCAAGATAATTTTTGCTGCCACTTACACCATGGTTTCTGTCGTAGACTCGTGTGATCTAAACCCCACGACATTATTTATTCTATTTCTTTTACTTTCCATTAAAATATTTTTATCTGCGGTTTGCAGCGGAGGTTGCCTCGTGTAGCATGGCCCTTACTGTTCATAGATTTCGATGTTATAGTTGTTATATTTGGTAACCAGGGGCCGGTTAGCTCGTTTAGCTTAAACGATGGACAAGTCAAAATTAAATAACGCTCTTGTATTTCTCGTGAATCAGTCAACTTAAATATTGTGCACTGAATATGTAGTTGTAAACATTATCGTTCTATTAAGGTTCAAAACTTTTAGTTTGGTTGTTGAATGAATCTATAGACTTGCTTTCTATTTTGAGCTTAACGACCGTTTAAGCTAAACTGGCTTGATACAACCGGCCCCAGGGCCCATGTACATGTTCTGCTGTTATAATACTATGTTTGTGTGCACGTTTGTGTTGGCAAAGTTTAATAAATAAATAAAAAAAATTCCCGAAATGGTTGGCGATTGGCGGGGGTGTTGTCACGGCTCTACAATTTACGCCCATTAAACTTTTCATTTTCTTTTCGGTCAATGTAGCACTGTTTGTTTAATTTTCCGTGATTTTTCATACATTTCTCTAAATTTTAGCTACAATTATTAGTTTTCAATCAGTGTCACTCAAATATTTTAGTTTCTTTCCTTCCTATCCAACTGAGATTACATAATTTGCCTACTACCTGACGACAGGGGGTGCTCCAAACACACTAGCGCCGCCCCTGCTTGTTATGACTTTTATAAGATGGAATGTCGAGAATGTGAAAGGATATGAGAAAGCAGACAGATGCAGTTTTTTCAACCAGGTTAACTTTTTACTAATGATCAAAAGGGCCCAGTTCATCTGAAAATCTTGTTTCACTACTGGGGTAAGCAAAGGGCCTACTGGGGCAAATGCCCCAGTAGTTATATAGTTAAAAAATGCCCTGAAATTCTGAGTACCAGTCTAAAGGTGATGCCTGTGACCGATGAGGCCTGCTATTGTTGAAATAGCATTGGTACAAGTGTATTGCATGCTTGTTACAATTTGTGTGTTTTTACCCTCTGGATTAAAATCTGGATCTCAGTTTTGGAGGTTTAGTAACACTGTCGCTCAAGTAACACTGTGAGTACCCAAGTAACACTATGAATACTCGTGTATTGGTGGGATCCCTAGCTAAGCAATGCGAAATGGGAGCTGCTGGTCAACCTCAGAAGTTTTAGAGTGAAGACCGGAAACAATTGTGGCTCTACCGACAATGGCCCCAACCAAACCTGGAAATAATTCCAGCCTTTCTTATATCCTATGCTGAGAGGGAAATAATTTTTTGGAAAACGTGGTGGTCAAATTACATCCAACAGGACTTAAATATTCATTCATACAGCTGTTGGGCATTACATGTGCTTAACCTTTAACAAAATCCATTGAATTGATTAATTGAACAGGATAATGTTTTGTCTTCAGCTTTCAGCCATGTCAAATGCATGCAACGGCATGCATATTACTGATGTTAGCATATGATATGAAATTAAGTCGTAATAAACACTTATAAGAGATAAAAGCGTTAATTTTTTGTATAAAATAGGTAATAGGAAAGTACTGATGTTAGTGGTGGAAGACATTGTGTAGCCTACACAATGTGAAGACCAGTATAAAAAATTAATTACTCTGTACTCTGACTACATACTTGTGGTGAATATATTGAAAAGCTCAATAAACTACAATGGGCAATTTTAAAATTACATAAAATTTCAAACCAAATCTATAGTAGCTTACATCTCATCTGAGCCTGTTTTATTTAATTTATTTAAAATTTATTATATATTTTAGAAAATCTTCCTGCAAAAGATAACCAGGAACATGAAAAGGTAAAACCCCACATTACATTACACAATATAATACATGTTAATGAAGCTCATTATGTATCAGTCAGTCATAGGGTAAACATATGTCATCCTTGTTATGTCTGTGAAAATTATTTCTCTTAGTTGTTCAATCTACGGTGACATCAATGTAAATAGTGCATGGTAAAAGAACGTTTAGCACATTCATTAGTCCTGCTGGATCTACAAACGTGATATCACTGGTACAATTTGCTTGGGCTAGAAAGCTGAATACGAACCACTTAAAAACAAAGATTCGGATAAGTAGTTGATTCTGATTGGTCTATGGTCGAACACAATGGTTTTGATTGGCCTTTAGTAAATCAAGTAATCAGTGAACCAACTAGAGGCTCAGCCATTCTTGACCTTGTAATCACCAACATGTAACAGTTCTATAAAAAGCCTTCAATTTTGGCGACGGTGCATGGGTACAGTACATCTGACCATAATGTTATTAATTGGCGTCCTGATGATAATGCGTCTTGATGACATTGTAAGGTCATTGAGCGCCAACGGCGTCTCTTTTCTCAATTCCGGCGAGAGGCCTTTGGCCGATGGTTGACCTCACTAGATTGGAACTTAGCCTCCCCCGAAGGCTCAGTTGAAGCAGTGACTTCTGATTTCAGAGAAAGGAGTACACGTCAAGCAATGGATGCCTTCTTCCCCCAGCAGACAGTCGGTATCTATTAAATCATCGCGCGTCAGCGAGCCTTTTCTTGTGGAAATTATTAACCTCTGGCGTCACTACAAAAACAAAGTAAAATCTGCAATCCAACTAAAGAAAAAGAACTTTTATTCTAACAAAGTTTTCTTATTCGATCGTGTTTTATATCTTTCAACATTTCAATTTTTGTCAGCCTCGCTTTAAAAATACACAACTGCACTGATCTCAAATTAGTTCGCAAGCAACACTGGAATTTTAATGAATTTCATTTTTAAATCTGATAAAAAATAAACACGTTATTTACCGTCGAAATTCATTAAAATTCCAGTGTTGCTTGCGAACTAATTTGAGATCAGTGCAGTTGTGTATTTTTAAAGCGAGGCTGACAAAAATTGAAATGTTGAAAGATATAGAACACGATCGAATAAGAAAACTCGAGAAAACTGGCAAGAAACAAACAAAAAGACGTATAGTTTCAGTAAATTTACATGCTTTTTTCATGAATATGGTAGCAGAAAAGCCTTTGGAATAAAACTTTTAAAAACGAAATAAAGCGTTTTGACTTTGACAAATTCAGTTGCTTCTGACAATGACATCGTTCAGATCCGATCAAAAACACATGAAAAAGAATCTGTTTTGATTTAATCAACGTTTTTCTGCTAAAAGGACAATGAATAAGGTATGCCATTTTATATTTTTGAAAAAAGTCTTTTTAAACGCAGACTTTTAGTTTGTTTACAACATTTTATATGAGTGAAAAATGCCTAACACAAATGATCGAGATTGTTTTCACTGTTGCAGTTAAACCTTTTTTTGAATGGGAAAACATTTATTTTACAATATCTGTTTAAGCTGTAATTTTTTCGCTTTTAAGTGGC